AAGAGATTCCAACAAATACATAAATAAGTGGTGCATGTTGCTAAATGTCCTTCCCTGAGCATCTGTTGTTTAAGATCACCCTTGATTGATGACTGCTATTTTTTAATTGTTGCTTTTAAAATTTAAATGCCCCCCTGGGATGTGTTATAAGTGTGTTAGTACATGGTAGGAGGTCTGGAAAGTGGGAAACAGCAGAACCAACGCTCTCATGCCATTAGCTTCTAAAGAAGCCTGAGAACACCCCATGCCATAAAACAACAGTACCCTAAAGTAACTAACAATCTAATATATTGCTTTCACTAAAGGCAACTGACAACTCACTCTTACATGAGCTAGCCTGGATGATTGGCAGACAAGAGCATTTTAACTTTCTTTTTAAAAAAAGTAAGAAACCTTTGTGTTTACCTGAATACTAATGGTAATAAAACTGCAGTTTCATTTTGTTGGGATTATTTCCCACACATCCACTCTGCATTCAGATTTTGTTTTTTAAGCAGCGCCATGTCCTAAAGAAGAAACTAGAGCAAGACAGAAATTGCAAGGGGGTTGATTTTTTTTTCTCCCCAGAAAAAGCAATAAATAAAGAAAGGCTATACAATAGAAATTAAACCACGATATTTTCTCTTCTAGACACAAACCACATCATGCAAGTCCACTGCCAGAAGCATTAAATACCAACGAGTTTTTCCTCCCCACTAAATACTGCTGCATGGGGGCGAGGGGGGGCACAAACTTGGGGAATAAAATCCCCAGAGAACAAAAACAATACAGAACCAACAGCATTGATTTCCTACCTGTTTTTTCTTTGATTTCACACAAGACATTAAAAAGCGCCGGCTTCATCCTGTGGCAGTTTAAAGCATGTTTCCTGGAGAGAAAAGAAAAGAGGGGAGGGTGAGCTCAGGATGTCACCATGAGGAACAACTTTCCAAATTCATGCCAGCTGGCGTAGGGAGGGCAGCTTTGAGCCCCCAGTGCTGCAAACAGCCACCTACCCAAGGCAGGGGAGATGAATGTCACCAGTTTAGGAATGAAAACCGCCTTGGCCACCAAGCAGCTCCACGGCCAGCGCGAGGCAGGCGATGCTCCACGGCAGAGCCAGCAGCTCTTGGGAGCCAAGCTCGGATCAACTGCCTCGTTCAACACAGACACAGCACTGGGCTCTCCCTGTCCCCCACCTCCAATATTACACCAGGCCATGTGCTTTATTTGTGAGGCAGAGGGGAAATAAACTCCTCCTTGCCCCAGTGGTGGAAACATCCCCTGCTTAGAGCTGTCAATTCAGGGAATTTCAGCGCTCAACGTGGAGCACAGAAAGACACATGCAGAGAGAAACCCATTCCTCTGCCTCCATGCTACTTACATCCAGCTTATTTGCAGGTGTTAAAATTTAATTCTTTACAATTGGGACAGTAAACACATTAAAAAAATCACAGCCGGCTGCTTCTGAGAAAGGGAGGGAACGCTATTAAACGCTGCTCCTTTCGGCTGCTGTTATTCCAGAGCTGACCGTTCTCCTGTGGGTTTTGAGGAGAGACTTTGGGGAGGGGGCGCTTTAATTGGCTGGTTTTAAAACCCACCACGCGCCCGCTGAGGCAAAGAAACAGCACGATTTAATTTTTTTCTCTTGAGCCATAGGGTGATTTAGCCAAGGGTTCAGTTGCACACAGGGCTGCTGCTATCCGGCGCCGGTTACGGGGATTTCTGTTTACCAACCAAAATTACACGCGAAAGATGATGTGAACATCTGGCAAACATTCACACTACTTACCCCACCACCCACAACATGTTAAAAAGATTTATATATCTGATGAAGTCTCTCAAAGGTATATACCCTTGCAGAACCACAGCGTTCCCTTATCAGCACACCCAGATGGGCGCAGACATTTGGGTATACGCAAATCACGTAAAAAAAAAAAAAAGGAAAAAAAAAAAAAAATAAAAAAAAAAAAAATCAAAAAAAAAAAAAATTAAAAAAAAAAAAAA